CTTCCTCAAAAAAAAAAAAAAAGAAAAAGAAAAGAAAAAAGAAAAACCTCAATATTCAGGTCAAGATAAGCCAATGTGTTATAATAGGAGAAAGATCCTGTCTCTAGAAGCAGAAGCCAAATACATAAAAATACAAGTGGAAAAAGCAAGAGCAAACTTAAAAACTATATGGGAAACAATAGAAAGACTTAGGCCCTTCATACAGAACTCCCAGGCATGTGTGAAGAGGCTCTGGAGGAATGTTTGCTAAAGATGAAAGACCTGACAGCTTCTCTTGGAGAAGAGAACGTGGGTAATAACTTGGAATCAAGAGGTGGAGACAGTATTTATGACCAGACAAGAGGAGCCAGGAGGAAACTGACTGATGTGGAAAAGTCAAGCGTGTATTTACACATCCAAGATGGAGAGAAAAATCAATTCTGCATCAACATTGCTAAAGAAGAAAACAGAAAGGCCAGCATGATAGATCATCTCAAAAGTCTTCAGGCTGAGCAAACCTCGACTGAAAAAGTGCAGATCAAAATCTTCAGGGGAGAGGAAATGCAGTGACTGAACTTTGTCAAGAGAAAGAAATGGAGTCTTTTGAGAAATTATCTGTCCAGGAAGATCATTACTTGGGGCAGGAGGAGGAAACTTCTGAGGCAAATGACAAGATGAGCACATGAATGAAGAGCTGAAGACCTTCCGAGAGCAAGTCAAAGACACTGAAGAAAAGCCGGAAAGCATCATTTGTTCTCCTCAAACCCACATTATTTCCCTTGAACTAAAAGGTCATGATCACTGGAGGAGAGGGCAGGAGGCTGAAAGAAACTTCATCTCAAGGCAAAAGATTGCAGACATGAGACAAATGACAATGGAAACAGTGATTAAACGAGCTTCTAGAAGTGGAGCCTCATGTATCTGATAATCCAGGTGGAGTACTTTTCGGGGAGCATTTGCACCCCCATCCCTGGGTATGGGGTGCTGTTTCTTCTGAGATAGGATAATCTCAACACTGCTCCCCTCAGACCCTCTCCTCGGCTCCAAGGCGTTCCTCCTCCATTCCTAAATCTGGTGTTTCCAATAGATTCAGATGGGGATTCCGGGCAAGAAGACATCTTCCTCCCTGTCTTAGTCAGGGTTCTCCAGAGAAACAGAACCAGTAGGCTATATACATCCATAGACAGAGATTTATCTCAAGGAACTGGCTTACGCACTTGCGAGGCTGGCTGGTCTGGAGCCTGTAGGGCAGGCCAGCAGGCAGGAAGCTCTCAGGCAGGGGCCGAGACTACAGCCCACAGGTGACACAGTCCTCTTCCTCAGGGAAAACCTCAGTTTTGCTCTCAAGGCCCTCCAACTAATTGGATGATTATCAAGGATGATCTCCTTTACTTACAGTCAGCTGATTGCGGAGGTTAACCACATCTACAAAACGCCTTCACAACAACACTAGGTTAGCGTTTGATTGAATAACCAGGTGCTGGAGCCTAGCCAAGGAGACACATAAAACGAACTCCCTCTCCCCCAGGAGGCCTGGATGAACCCCTCTGAGACGGCTTTTCGCCAAGACATCCTCCTAATCTTCACTCACAGCCTGGGGTTTTCTCTGGATGCTCCCATCCAGAAAATGGAAGTATGTTACCTTCTGGGTTCACTGAGCCTCCACATGAGCTTTCTACTCAAAATTCTGAAACACTGCAATGACTTTACATCATGTCATTTATTTTTTTCTTCAAAATTATTTTTAATTATCTATTTTTTTAGTTTAAAAAACTTTTTACAACTCAACAATAAAAAGACCAAATAGCCCAATTTAAAAATGGACAAAAAAATTAGAATAAACATTTCTCCAAAGAAGATACAAAAAAAATGGCTGATAAGCACATGAAAAGATGCTTAACTTTATTAATCCTTAGGGAAATGCTAATCAAAACCACAATGAGATACCATTTCTCACCTACTAGGATGGCTATGATCAAAAAGACAGAAATAACAAGGATTGGTGAGGATGTGGGAAGTTGGAACTCTGATTGGGGATTGTCAAATGGTACAGCCACTCTGGAAAGTAGTTTGACAGTTCCTCAAAATGTTAAACATAGGGTTTAACTATATGACCCAGCAATATCACATCCAAGAGAAATGAAAATATACGTCCACACAGAAACACGTACACAAATGTTCCTAGCAGCATTGTTCATAATCGTTAAAAAGTGGAAACCACTCAAATGTCCATCAGCTGATGAGTGGATAAATAAAACATTCCACACAATGAAATATTATTCGTCAAGAAAAAGGAATGAAGGACTGATACACGCTGCAACACGGATGAACCTGAAAACATTACGTTAAGTGAAAGAAGCCGGTTACAAAAGGCCACATGCTGCATGATTCCGTTTACATGAAACGTCTCGAATAGGCAGATCCACGCAGACAGAAGTGGATTAGTGTTTGCCAGGGGCTGAGGGGGAAGGGGATTGAGAGTGACTGCTAAAAGGTGTAGACTTTGTTTTTGGGGTGATGAAAATGGGGTGATGATGCTCGTACAACCTGTAAATATTTAGAACACTAAACTGTACACTTTAAAAGAGTGAAGGTTTTTTTAAAGATTGACACCTGAGCTAACATCTGTTGCTATCTTTTTTTTTTTCTCTTTTCTTCTTCTCCCCAAAGCCCCCCAGCACATAGTTGTATATTCTAGTTGTGGCTCCTTCTGGTTATGCCATGTGGGACACCACCTCGGCATGGCCTGATGAGCGATGCCACATCCATGCCCAGGATCCGAACTAGTGAAACCCTGGGCCTCCGAAGCAGAGCGCCGGAACTTAACCACTCAGCCACCGGACTGGCCCCAAAAGAGTGAATTTTATAGTAGGTAAATTATATCTCACTAAAACTCTTTAAAAATTTTTACATAAGTGATTTTACTTTTTTTTAAAAAAAAGATTTTATTTTTCCTTTTTCTCCCAAAGCCTCCAGAACATAGTTGTGTATTTTTAGTTGTGGGTCCTTCTAGTTATGGCACTTGGGATGCCGCCTCAGCGTGGCCTGATGAGCGGTGCCATGTCAGCACCCAGGATCCTAACTGGCGACACCCTGGGCCGCCAAAACAGAGCGTGTGAATTTAACTGCTCCGGGGCGGGGGGGCTGGCCCCAGCAGTGAATTTTAATTTGATAAACCAGTCCACTATTCTCTAAACAATATATTATCTGAGAGCTGTTCATCCATCAGAGACATGTGAAATAGCAACATACTTTTCTCTCTGCCAATGCTTTTTATGAGTCTCAATAAATTTTAGTTGATTAAACAAAGTCTCTCAAAGCTGGGACTGGTGGAGGTGGAATTCCTGCTATGTTCTCAGCACCTCTCACTTGTTAATCTACACTCTTTCCACCGGTCTACCCAGCTCTGGAGATTACAAACAGAGCTCTCAACAGTAATCATCATGGCTTCAGGGGTCTATGAACTCCCAGAAATTACATGCAAAATGTGACATGTGGTCCCTGAGTAGAGTCTACTCCTTTTATCAGCTTCCCAAAGACAGTCATTGACCAACATTTCAGCGACATATGCAGGTTGGGCTGCGTTTGGATTTTGTAGAGGCATCTGTAGTTTTAGTTTGCCGAGCATCCTTTTCTCTTCTTGTCACAGCGCCCTCTCTTTGGGGGATGGGGCATGGGGTGGATTTTCCCCCTGCATTCCACACCGCCGCTGGAGGATCTTCCCTTTTCGTCTGGTTGCTAAATCCAGAGAATGTAATCCAGGAGGTGTCTGCATCTTTTCCCCACCCCACCCTCTATGAAGGACGCCAAACCGTCGTGCACGGAGCGGAGCAGGGACGGTTGGAGAAGAGGGCCAGGATCCAGATTCCCTGAAGCCAGCTCCACCCTCCCTTCCTTCCCTCTGCTGCGGGGGCGGCAAATTTAGCCTGGAGATGGTAGGGGCGGTTACGTTCCAGAGACCGAAAGGCACAGAGTTGGAAACAGCTTAGTCTAGGAGAGCTGGTTCCTGGGGCTGCATGGAGTGGATAAGCCCAGCGACTAATAGGATCGGCCATGGCGAATCCCCCAGCACGGCACGCACTGCACGAAAGGTCGAAGCGCCGGGGTGGCTGAGAGGTCAAGATTACAGAAAGCCAGGAGCGCGCGCGAGAAGCTTAAAGAGCCAGGCTGCGCGTCCCGGACTGGGGTCATGGCCCCGTCCAGCCCGGCGGGAGAAAGCAGATTTAGCTCCGCCCCCGACCAAGGGAGGAGAACTGGCCCGGTCCCCCACCTCCCGGAATCCTAGTAGTGCCAGGCCAAGACCACCTCCGAATCACGGATGACTTGTTAGTCAGTGAACTGAAGGTTAGAGGCGGAGGTCAGTCGGGGAGGTTGGGAAGTGACTGAAAAGAGAAGATGACTTTCTCTGGGTTCTGTGTGCGCCCCCCTTCCGGCTCCCACTTGGTAGCACCTTCCTGATCCCCTTATCTCTAAGGCGCTCAGAGAAATGCCCCCCTGCGGCAGCCTTCTAGGAAATGCTGCCTTGGCCGCCCAGGAACCATGAGCCCTGCAACCCCGGTAAGCAAGAGGTGTGAGGAAGATTGGCCCTGAGCTAACATCTGTTGCCAATCTTCCTCTTTTTGCTTGAGGAAGATTGTCGCTGAGCTAACATCTGTGCCAATCTTCCTCTATTTTATGTTAGACGCCACCACAGCGTGACTTGATGAGTGGTGCTAGGTCCGCACCTGGGATCCCGGCCTGTGAACTCTGGGTGGCCGAAGCCGACTACACCACTGGCCGATCCGAGTTCAAGATTCTTAGGAAAAAGTATTTCATGATAAATGCGTGAACAAATGTCAGAGAAAAATAAAATCGCAGGTGCAGCCTCTCACCTGTGCACCTGGTCAGGACAGGGGTACCACCCAAGAAAGGGTGAGTCCTGCCCAGCTCTAGGGCTGCAGACTACAAGTCCCAGTATGCCTCATGTCAGCACGTTCCTCCACGCCCCGCCCCCTCCCTGGGGGTGGGGCGGGGCCGGAGGGCGGGGCCCAGGGGTAGCGAGGCCCAGGGCGCAGCCTGGGGAGTGAAACGTCCCAGGCACTCTGGGGTGCACAAAGCGCAGGCGCAGTGGGTTGGGTGGCAGCAGCATCAAGTAGCGGCCGTTTTGCCAGCAGCATCCGCAACAGGTGTAGACAGGTGGGTGCATCAAGGTGGGGGAGTGGGGCGGCGCTGGCGAGGGAGTTTGCACCTGGCCCTCTTGTCTGACCTGTGTCAGGGCTTGGAGGGGGGAGGGAGCGGCAGGAGAAGCAGGGACGAGGCCGGGCCTTCCAGCCCAGGTGTGCCAGCCCTTGCTACGCAGCAAAAGGTGTGAGCGGGTGGGGGAGGGACAGAGGCACCTGCTGGTAAGTAAGTCCCCCTCAGGAACAGAGGGCATCTAGATTCCAATCCAAGCTCCATCACGCACTTGGACAAGTCACTTGCTGTCCCTCAGGTTGTCCATCTGTAAAGTAAGAGTAAGGATCCTACCCATCTAACTGGGTGACAGTGGGGACAAGGGGACGTAGTATATAGTATGTGCAGTGGTTCCCAAACTTTGCTGCACATTGGAATCATCTGGGGGTCTTTAAAGACTTTCAGTGCTTGCCTCCTGTCCCCAGACATTCCTGTTTGATTGTTATGGGGTATGACCTGGGTATACAGTTTTAAAAGCTCCTTCTGGCATAATGGTTAGAAGCCAGGACTGTTGGGTGTGAATCTGGGCTCCACTGTTTACTAATCAAGCGGATCAGCGCAAGTGACTGGACCTCTCTAGGCCCCAGTTTCCTGGGAATAATAGCAAGGTTTGTTGTGAGGCTTCCCTGAGGTACGAGAAGAAAGCTCTGAGAGGTGTACCTGGCACATAGTGCTTGATCAGTCAGAGCTGCTGTTGAACTATTATTTTATGCACTTCGTAAACAGCTCAGGTGTGATTCAAACATGAGGGAACCTTTTCTTATCATGAAAGTCCCTCATTCATTGCCATGATTCTAATATTCTGTGCTGCCAACATTTCAAAATTCCAGGATTTCTAACATTTTAAGAGTTCCTCACTCCAGCCTCTGCCTGCCTCACAGACACACTTTTACAGATCTAGAATTGGAGGCTGGAGAGAAGGGACTTGGCCAAGGTTATGGCTGAGATTGGAATCCAGCCTCCTTACCCCCGACCCCCACCCCAGCGCGACGGGTGGCTGCCCTGCTGGCCCCCGCAGGACAGTGCTCCCATTCTCTGCCTGGAGCAGAGAATGGGGAGGAGACAAGCAGGCTTGCCCTTGTTTGTCTACTAACACTCCCTTAAACATTTCCGAGGTGGCTCCCTCAGGGAGGCTGGGCTGGGGCTTCTCTCCGGGGAGCTGCTCTGGAGCTGCTGATGAGGCCTGTGTGTCCTGTGGCTCCTCTGGCAGGTGCCGCCTGATTCCATCCTGGAAAGTCCTTTTGAAGAAATGGCCCTGGTGAGGGGCGGCTGGCTGTGGAGACAGAGTGAGTGGCCCTGGGCCAAGCCCTTGTCGGTCCTGCATCTTGTCCAGGGGTAGGGGTGAGGGAAGTGGCTTGTTGAGCCTGCCACAGTGAACCCCGCTCCCCCAAAGTAGGCCCCTTTTATCCTCCCCTCCTTTGTCCATTCTCTTCCCTCTGTGTGGAATGTCCTTCCCATTCTTGACAGCTTGGTAAACTACTTTTTCTTCAAGACCCAGCTCAGATGTCCCCCTCTGTGACAAGCCTTCTCTGACTTTTCCTTTAACCCCCACTCCAGCCCCTGCTGTAGCGCCAAGCTGCGTTACAGGCTCCCTTTTCTGTTCTCCACTGCCTCATAAATCCCCGTTACAGCACCGATTTCCCCATAATATAACTGTCTTTACCTCTCCCCCACCCTGTACTGGCCCCAGCCCGTGAGCTCCTCAAGTGCAGGGACTGGGTTTCATCCTCTTTGTGCCCCCAGCACCCAGCCCAGGGCTGGCCACAGAACAAAATGAAAAATGGCTCTGTGCTTTGGAATCCATAAAGCTCTAAGAAGTTCCCTTGTGTCTTTGCCCTTTCCTGATAAGATTTCCAGTGGCAAATGTCTGGAGTGAGGACTCAGGCTTTCACACCCCCCTCTGACCAGAGTCCTGATCTGAACAAGAGCTCTGGGGCTGGAAACCCCACGTTCCATGACCCATTCTCAGTCCAGTCCGTTCCATAAACACTGAGCCCAGGTCCTGCTGGGTGCCAGGACCCATGTCGGGGAGCTGTGGGCGCCCAGTCTGGTGGAAGAGGCAGACACTACATGAATAACCATCACACAAATCAGAAATAAAAGATAAGATGGAGGCTCAGGGTAGGGAGAGGTCTTTCCCTTAAAGAGACCTGGGGCTTGGCCTTGGAAGCCCCCAAGGAATGGCTCTGGTCACTTATTTACCGTTCAACACATTTATGCAGCCTCTACTATGTGTAGTTGCCTCCAATGGGAGGCAGTTGGTGAGCAAGCCAGAAAGAGGCCCTGCTGTAATTTTAGAGGGAAGATAGACAAGGAAGGGGCAGTTACAACTCTGGGGACTTGGGTGAGGGAATTCAGAGCCCATCCAGGGCTTCTGCCCCCCTGGCAGTCTCCACGATCAGCCTGCCTGGCGGGTCTGGAATGTCACACAGGCTCCATCCTCCGCCGCTGGAAGCGGAACTGGTTCGCCCTGTGGCTGGATGGGACCCTGGGCTACTACCAAGACGAGACTGCGCAGGATGAGGAGGACCGCGTGCTCATCCACTTCAATGTCCGAGACATAAAGATCGGCCAAGAGTGCCATGGTAAGCAGAAGCTCCTTCCTCTCTGGCACTGTGACCATGGGCGTGGCCCTCCCACTGTGTCTGTGTGAGAACAGCTGCTTCGGAAGGCTCTTTGCAGCTTTCAGGGGGCTTCCACAGACATTGCTCCTGGGCTCTATCAACTCCAATTCATGTGGATGTGAATTAAGAAATCAGTTCCTTATTGAGTTCCTACCCTGTGCTGGGCCTGGGCCCTATTCTGGGGTCACAGAGGTGAGTCAGACACAGTTGTTGCCCTCTAGGTGCTAGGAATTGGATAAAGATGAAATGAGATAAGGCAACTCAGAGAAGTTAAGTGACTGGCCCCCTCAGGCACACAGCAAATCTTCCTACCACAGCTCAGGCTAACTGGGAAATAGATGTACCTAACTAGGGAAGCAGGCAATGTGGAAAGTTGAAAAGATCTAAAGAGTATAGCAGAATCCCAAAGAAAGTGTGTGGGATCAGAGGAAGCTGGCAATGGCCAATAAACACGACTCAGAGAAGTCAGTTCCTATTCTTGTTCCTGGTTTACCTGGGGGCTCTGGGGCCTGTGCCCTGTGGAACCCCATATATGTGTGTCTGCCTCTAGATGTGCAGCCCCCAGAGGGCCGGAGCCGAGACGGCCTGCTGACGGTGAACCTACGGGAGGGTGGCCGCCTGCACCTCTGCGCAGAGACGCGGGATGACGCCATGTGAGTCACTCCCAGGAGAGCATGTGGTGGGATCTTGGGGAATGTGATCAGGTGCTTCCAGCTCATTGGGCCTTCTGGTTCCCTGAGGATAGGAAAAGGGGATGAAGACCAGTCAGCATGGTGGTCTCATTGAGGCTGGGCAGAGTGGATTTGAATGGCTCATGGTGATTGGTATGGTATCCAGTAAACTCCTCACATGGTCTGTGATGAACTCAGGACTGTAGGGGGAGGGGTGTGTACACCTGCCTCAGGTGTGTAGTCCCTCACCATTCAGAGTTGGGTATTCAGCAGCCTCTGAAGTGAGCCCTCTCTTGAGGGTAATACAAAGGACTGGACAGCCCAGTGGCATCCTCAAAGGACCCTCCTTCTCACTCTCTTCTGAGAAGATGCCATGGTTGGGGGACTCTGATCTAAGGGGTAATCCCTGACCTGCCTAACACAGGCAGCCCACTGTGTCATGGCGGCACCCCAATGTCAGATGCAGATCCATGCTTTGAGACAGGGCATGTCTTCCTCAGGGACCGTCTGCTCACTCACATTCTTTCCCTTCCTACTCTCTGGCAGAGGGTCAGTTGGCCTTTGCATTGTAGGAGAATGAAAGAGATGGGGTGTGTGGGAGTGGGGGAGGCTGAGCTTCGGGTAGACAAAGCACAGAGCCGCCTTGTCCACCCCAGCCAGGTGCCATGGCAACCAACAAAGGCCCAATTGTCTGGTGTCCACTGGGCCTTCCCGGGGCTCTGGGGTCAGAGCATCGGGGAACTGTGTTTGCAGGTTTGGGGTGTGGAGGTGGGCTGCAACCCAGGCATGTCAGAATCTGAAGCCCTCTAAGAGACCAGCCAGCCCAGCTGTCTATTGTCTAGATGGGGAAACTAGAACTTCTAGAAGGCAAGAGACTATGGGCTAAGAATGAATTAGGAGGCTCCAGCTCAATTGAGGGCCCCCTCCATGTGACTGGGGCAGGGGTGAGGCCACCTTTGTCTACCCAAGGGAATCAGAAGAATCTCCCCCTTCACAGGAGACTGGGGCTAGAGGCTGGGTTGAGGAGGGAATGTAAAATGTAGGGGCCAATTCCCCTTCTCCCAAACTCCCCCCTCACGGTCTGGCGGGGTTTGCTTTGCAGAGCATGGAAGACAGCGCTGATGGAGGCGAACTCCACCCCGGTGAGCCCCCATTCCCTCCCTGTCTCCTCCCCACCCCTGCCTGCCATGGAATCATGGGTGACTCAGACTCGGTCTCCGCCTGCCAGGAGTTCTCATTTCCCATATATGTGAGTGAATAGACTGCAGACTCAGATGCCCTGAGTCCCAAGTGGAAAAGGACAGAAGACAGCCAAGTGGTGCTTGAGGGAGGGAGACAGAGGCCTCCAAGAAGGCTTGTTGAAGGGGGTGGCGTGTGAGCTTGGAAAGGAACTGTCTTTTTTTGAGCAACTATTATGTTCCAGGTGTGGGTGCAGGTACAATTCCAGCTACTCCTCCTAAGAGTCCTGAGAGGTTGGCACTATTGTTCCCTCTCTGCAGATGATAAGATTGAGCTTCATTCATCCACACAACAGATATTTACTGAGTTCCTACTATGTGCCAGATACTGTGCCAAGGGCCAGCGATCAGAGGCAAACTAAGGAGATGCGGGCCCTGCCCTCCTGGACCCAGCCTAATGAGGAGCCAGACGTGAAGCACTAATTACACCATTGATGGTTCCATTGCCATGGTGGTAACTGCCCTGACAGAGACATGGAGTGTGCATTCCATGTGCCACCACCTTGGTGGCCTGATCCAGGTGGAAGTTCAGACAAGGCTTAAGATGAGACCTGAAGGATAAACAGAATTGACTGGGTGAAAGGGGTGGCTTGGGTTGAAGGGCACAGCTTTTCAGGCAGAGGGAACTGCATGTGCAAAAGCCGTGAGAGGGGTTAAGACTTTGGCAAGTAAAAGAATAGAAGGAAGGCTGGGGTGGCTGGAGCTCACGGAGGGAGAGAGCTGTGGGGAAGGAGGGTTGACAGGGCCAGGCCTTATGGGCTGTGTTAAGGATGCTGGTTTCTGCTAAGAGCACTGGGGAGTCATTGAAAGTTGTTGTGTGTTTTTGTTTTTTTTTAAGATTGGCACCTGAGCTAACATCTGTTGCCAATCTTCTTTTTTCTTTCTTCTTCTCCCCAAAGCCCCCCAGTACATAGTTGTGTATTCTACTCGTAGGTCCTTCTGGTTGTGCATGTAGGACACTGCCTCAGCATGGCCTGATGAGCGGTGCCATGTCTGCGCTCAGGATCCGAATTGGCAAAACCCTGAGCTGCCGAAGTGGAGCATGCAAACTTGACCACTTGGCCATGGGGCTGGCCCCTCATTGAAAGTTTTTAAGCAGAGGGATGGCACGAACAGATCAGACCAGATTTGTATTTTTAAAATGATAGTCTAGGGGCCAGCCCCATGGCTGAGTGGTTAAGTTCATGTGCTCCACTTTGGTGGGCCAGAGTTCGCTGGTTCGGATCCTGGGCACGGACCTACACAGCACTCATCAAGCCATGCTGTGGAGGCATCTCACATAGAAGAACTAGAATGATTTACAACTGGGATATACAACTATGAACTGGGGCTTTGGGAAGGAAAAAAAAAAAAAGAGGAAGATTGGCAACAGATGTTAGCTCAGAGCCAATCTTCCTCAAAAAAAAAAAAAAAAAAAAGATAGTCTAGCTGGTAGGTAGAGAATGGATTGTAGAGGATCAAAGTGGATGCCTGTAGACCAGTTAGAAGGCTGGGACAGTGTCCAGATGATGGGCTGGAGGTCTGGACTAAGGCCTTGCTGGCAGAGACAAGCTGGTGAGGATAAGACAGATTTAGGAGGTAGAGTCAACAGAATTTAGTGATTGTTAGAGGTGTGGGTTTGAGAAGCCACCCAAAGCCCCCAGCTTGAGGGTGGCCCAGTTTGGCCTCAATTCCCGTTTGCCTGAGTTCAGATTCTCTGCTTGCCCCTTCTATCTGTGGAGCCCCTTCTCATCTAGAGAGAAAGTCTGCTGCGAAGTAGCGGGGAAGACTGGGACACATTTATAAACCCCCTTGGGCATTCCCCTGCGGAGGGCCAGGCATTGTGCTGAGCACCCGGCACTGGTTATATCACTTAATCTTCCAACAGCCCAGGTCGAGGTTGGTATTTTCGGTCTCATTTTACCGATAGGGAAGCTGAGGTTCAGGGGGAAGTGACTTGTCCAAAGTCTTAAGCCAATGGAAGAGCCTATACTGGAACCTAGGTTGGTGAGTGTTTGAGAGGAGGGCATTATCAGCAAAGGAACTGCAAGAGCAGAAGTGGGGAAGTGATATGTGCATGTGCGTGTGTGCTCACTCATGCATCTAAGGGTCAGGAGTCAGGCCTGGCTGGAGGATAACACAGGGAGGGAAAAAAATAGGAGTGGTGACCTCTGAGGAGCCACGTCACGAAGGGCCTTGAAGGAACTGAACTTTATCCTGAGGGTTGTGGGGAGCGATAAAGGACATTAAGCAGGGAGGGCTGTGTTCAGACTTTGGGGAGCAGACTCAGCCTTCTGGGTGAAGGCTGGATTAGAGGAAGCCGGGAGTAAGGAGGCTGGGGCAATAGTCAGCAGGGCAGAGGGACCCCTGGTTGGGTTAACCTGGCTCTGAGCTCCAAATCCCTCTTATGCAGAGCAAATCAGTCCCACCCAAGACAGGCGAAAGGAAGGAGGTGAGGGCTGACCGTTCTGCACTCTGTGACTCTATGAAGCTACCTTGTCCCTTCTCTGCCTGTCCACCTTCCTGCTGCTCTGCTTACCCTCGCCCTGACCCTCTGCTCCACCTCCCACTGCTCCACTCTCACACACACATCCCTCTGGTTCCAGGGCTTGCTCCAGCGGAGTGTGTGCCCCTGTGTCTTTGTACCAGTGTCTGCCTGTCTCTGTGTGTTCCCGCCTGTGTCCGTGGGCTTCTCTCGGTCCTTTGCCTACATAGGAGTGACCTGTGCTTTGTCCCTCCACATCCTGTAGGTTCATACCCCACTCTGGGTGGAGGTTCCAGGAGGAGCCCCTGACCTCGGCTGTTCCAGGAAACACAGGGCCAGGGGCACAGCCAAGGGCAAGGCTGGGGGGCCAGTGAAGGGGGCAGGTGGGCGGGACGGCGGATCAGAGCTGTTCTGTCCCCCCTGGAGACTGGGAGCCTCAGCAGCCTGAAACAGGTGAAGGTGGGCTAATTCTGGAGAGTCAATACTGGCCCTTCTTCTCTGTGTAACTCTGGCAAAGTCACCACCCCCTCTGAACCTGCCCCCACTACCATGGGCTGAGGAGGAAGAGGACACCCCCTTCCCCTGCCCAGCTGGCAAAGGGCTCTAGTAGGGCCTGTTAAAGGCTCCAAGTCTCTCCAGGTATAGAGGGCCTCTGACACCCTCCCTCCCCCTTCTTGGGTTTCTGTGGGTTGAGCAGGCCCCAGCTGGAGCCACCGTCCCTCCCAGGAGCCGCCGGGTTTGCCCCACGGTCAGGTGTGTGACCCGCTCATGGAGCCCCTGTAAGGTTGAGAGGCGGATCTGGGTAAGTGCTGGCTCAGCCCTTCCTGCCTCCATTCTGGCCACCAAGATATGCCTCCAAAAGTGGGTCCGGTCACATCCCTTCCCTGCTCATGAACATTCCATGGCTCCCCATCAACCACAAGACACCAACAACAGCCCTGCTTTCAAGGTCCTTGGGATCTGGTCTGGGCCAGTCTCGCCTAGCACATCCCTCTCATCCCTGTGCTCCAACTGCTGTGCTGTACCCTCTGCTCCCAGCTGCGCCTGACTTCTTCCCTCTTCCTAGCCTTTGCACATGCTGTTCTCTCTGCTACGAAGACCCTTAGGTTCCTTATTCACTTGACAAACTGGTGCTTATCATCTAAGACCCACCTCAAAGGCTGCCACCTCCTCAGGGAGGACCTCCCAGACCTCCAGGCATTGTCACTCCCCCCCACAGCCCACTACACTAATGCTTAGTGCTGTCTTCATTCTGCCTGGTTTCAAGTCTGTTTATTTCTGTCTCTATTCTCCCATGAGACCTGGAACTTCCTCCAAGGCAAGGACCAGGTCTGAACAGCTCTGCCCTTGTGGAGCCTGGCACAGTGCTAGGTATACAGCAGGTGCTCAATGAGTGCTCAATGATGGGGACAGTCTATTTTGACCCTCCTTATTCCTGGTGCATGAGGGTTTGGCGCAGGTAGGCCTCAGACACTGTTCACTGAATGAGCAAATAAGTGAAAGCATAAGACGGAAAGAGTGAAAGCCTGTTACAGCCCCACTACTGCATGTTATAATTTAATCCGTGTCTGTCTCCCTGCCTACTCCCCACAGTGTTTCTGGAAAGCAGGATTTGAGGATGAACCCTCTCTCTGTCCCCAGTGCTCTGCCCGACATGGGGTGGGCACAGTAGCGGGACTTGCCTTAGAGAATCTGTGGTCTTATGGTCAACTGTGAGCTCCTTTTCTAGCACAGTGGTGCTCAATGTGACTTTAAAAAAAAATACAAATGTTCAGATCCTACCTCTGGATGCTCTAATTTCATAGGTCTGGGCTTGGGCCTTGGAAATAGAAGTGCTTTTCTATTATCAGAAGTGCTAGGACCACCCAGTTGCATAGATGTGGCTCTGCAGGATTCTTACTGTGCCGTGGGAGTGGGCAGTGTAGGAAATACTGTCCCCATTGACAGAGGAGAAAACTGAAGCTCTGAGAGTTTACCTCACTTGACCAGGGTCACTTAATTCATCAGTAGGAGGCAGGACTCCCAGCCCAGCATTCTGAGGCATGCCCCATGCCTAAGCTAGGATACAAATTTGTTTAAAGTGGGAATGCCTAAAAATAGGACTTAAAAGGCTGTAAACCTAAGTATGCAACAGCTTTTCCCAGGGAAGGGATCTATTTGCATGTGGCTGGCCTTGTCCCCATCTGCAAAAGGGGCTGGGTCTGCAGAGAGAGAGAGGATCAGGGATCAAGCCCTTAGGTTCTGTCTGTGAGATCTCTGGGGGATCCCCTGCCCTGTTGCCAGGTGACCCACATGACTTTACCTCTGGGCCTCCCAGGCCTGGAGGGTAGAAACAGGTGCCCCATGGGGACGAGGTGGTGTTTTCCATTCTCTCCAGGGCCTGACAGGGCCACTGGCTCACTATGCAGCTGTAAGGCAGGTGTAGGCTCTGGACCTCAACTTCCCTACCAGTAGAATTGGGGGTCTGAGTGCTTACATCTCTCTAGCTCCTTCTAGGCATGAAGCTCAGATCCTGGCCACCCCCACCAGAAAGCCCCGTTGGATCACCTTTGGGGAAGGAGTACAGTGAAGGAAGTCACTTGAGACTGAGCATTGCTTGTCTAGCCTCCTGCATTACCCTGGGACTGGTCGTTGTCCTTAACCTGAAACTGGACTTAGAGTTCGGTGACCTTAGTTCCAGTCTGGCCTTGTATTTGATTCATTGAGATAAATTCAATACATTAAACACCTACCAAGTTCCAATCAGGCCTGACTAGACCCAGTCCCTGCCCTTGGGGGAGGAGGGGTCTCCAAGTCTGATGGGAGGGACACACACTCACAGGGATACAAACAATGACACTACAGGGTTATTGCTGCTGTGATGGGGGAACTCTAAGGGGTATGGGTGCCCAGGTGGGACCCCAACAGAACCTGAGGTTCAAGGAGACTGATACTTGATTTGAGACTGAAAGACAGGTAGTCGAATGAAAAAAGATGAGGGGGGCATCCCTACCAAAGGGAGATGGCATGGAGATTTGAAATCACAAAGTGTGCTGGGAGAACTCCCCTTCACAGCCAAACTTGTTGAAAGAGATATGACATGTTGATTCCATCCCTCACCTCTCAACCATTCTTCAGCCCTCCACAGTCTGGCTTCTTCCCCCAACCACTTCTCTGAAAAGTGTTTTTTCAGTCACCCACAACTTCCAAGTTGCCAAAACCAAAGGCTTATTCTCTTGGCACTGGCCAGCAGGATGGACAGAAGAGCCTATTTAGAAGATAAAATCCTGAAACCTGGTGGCTAATGTCATGTGCAAGATGAGTGTGTGAAGACAAGGGTGCCCACCTGATGTCCTGGTTCGAGTGCATGATGGTGGCATTTAGAGAAAGGCATTTACAGAAGAGCAAGTTTGGGGGGAATGGAAGGATGATGAAATCACTTAGAGATGAGTGTAGTTTAAGACACCTGTACTTCTAAGGAAAGCTGGACCATTTGAGTGTGAAGCCCAGTTAGAGAGAGAGAGAGGGTGGAAGGGGGCTAAGAAGAAGGACCCAGGAGAGAAGGGGATCCTACCCCTATTGCAGGTCTGCTCCCACATGGGGAAAGTGAGGGGCTTGGATGAGGAGCTTCCATTTAATTCTGCACATACTTAGTGGTTCTTGCTATTCACTAGGCCCTGCTGGTGACAGAAATGAATCATAGACCTTGCCTATAGGTGGCTCCCATTTGGGGTGTAGACACGAAAGGCCAGGAAGCATGGGAACAAGAGGTACAAGCATAATCCACAGAGAACTCAGAAGGAAAGGATTCTTTCTGAGATCAGAAGGGCTTCCTGGAGTCGGTAACTTTTGAGTTAGGCTTGCAGGGATTGGTGAAAATCTAATGGGGGAGGGAAGAGGGCAAGGAGTGCAGTCCCCCCTCCCAGAGAGAACACTGGCCGTTCTTCTCTGAGCCTCCATCCCCAGCCCTGTGGCAATGCCTGAGTAAGGATCAGAGGAGGTAACACATGAACACCTGCCTCAGGACCTGGCACATGGTGGATGCTCGATAGTACTTTAGTTACTTCTCATCCCTACCCTTCCTTTTCCTTCCTTCCTCCCCAACCCCCTTTTATTTCCTGGGCCTGGGGCTTGGCCAGCTCTCCCTCCCCATGATTAGGAGAGTAGAGAAACCCATTGGGTATCTCCAAGTGGGACCACTAGAGAGCTGCTAGCAAATATTAGACCATCTATGAAGGGAATTTGGGAGCCATGGAGAATTTTTGACGAGGGGAGTACTAGGTAGGAGGCCAGAGCAGGAAGGTAGCATCACTGGGAGCTGGATGTGGGGGCTGGAGTTGTAGAGGACAAAGACCATGGACCTTGTGGGGAGGCAGGGCCTTTCTCCTGGAGCTTGCTGGTCCCTGGAGACCCATTTCTAAACTTGGTGAGGCGGCTCCATGGGCCCAGAGCCCCGGGTGGTGGGTAGGGGACCACACCTGGGCCAGGGAGTTCCCAGGCAGCTAACCTGGTGGGGCTTCCCAGGTGCGTGTCTACAGCCCGTACCAGGACTACTATGAGGTGGTGCCCCCCAACGCGCACGAGGCCACATATGTCCGCAGCTACTACGGACCGCCCTACGCAGGTATGTCTCCGGCCTGCTCCGCCCTGCCCCCTGCCCGATCCGGCGTCAGGCCCCGCCCCGCCGTGGTCTATCTGTCCAGACCAGGCCCCACCCTTTTAGTGACTACTGATTTTCCCAGGCGGGACCCTCTGCAAGACCCTCCCCATCCCGAGACTCCTAATAGTTCTTGGACCAGCGCCCCTCCCCACTCCAGAGCTGACCTCACCTCTCTAGACCGGCCACTATGCATTCCCCTTGGCTGCCCAGCAATACCCGTTCCTGCGCTGACAGCGGCCCCTGGTGGCTAATATGGGAACGGCCGCCTCCTCCCGCTCCGGGGTCTAGCCGTTGGGACCGCCCATTCTCGGGTGCAGTGTGGCGATTTCTTAGAGATCCGGGGGTTTCCTTGCCGTTCCACCGTAGCCCCACGGTCCAAGAACATCTGTAGCAGATCCAAGGCCTGGAAGCCCTGGGGACGGAGTGCGCGTTCTTCTCGCGTTAAGCCCTCAGTTTCTTCAAGTGGGGAGGAGAGTCGGCTCAGCGCCTTACCTTCGGTTGGGCTGGAGTCAGGCTGGAGGAAGGGGACGAAGATATCTCTGCTCTGTTCTCTGAGGTCTCCGGCCCTCATGGGCGGGCTCTCTCTGCAGGCCCTGGCGTGACGCACGTGGTAGTGCGGGAGGATCCCTGCTACAGCGCGGGCGCCCCGCTGGCCATGGGCATGCTCGCCGGGGCCGCCACGGGCGCCGCGCTCGGTTCGCTTATGTGGTCGCCCTGCTGGTTCTGAGCCCTGGAACTCGGAGCGTGGACCCTGTGCATAGACCAACAGTCCCCTTTTCCTCCTTGACCTCATCCTCTGCCATCTAAGCCCTGACCCACTTTGGCCCCTCCTTTCCATTAGCCCCTTCTAGGCTTGGATCGTCCCTCTACTCCGCCCCCCTCAACCCCCATCGGAAGAAGCTATCACCCCAGGCACAAACACAGCTCAAAGTCCTTTATCTACCGCTAGACACCCCAGAAATCCGTTATAGACACATGGATATGCTTCCTCCAAACACATCAAGACACAGAAAACACAACTCACATGGCTTCAAGTTCCCCAGGCGCTGGAGACACAGGAGTCAGGTTCTTTCCTCTGGCAGCTCCAGGCTTGGTGGGGAAAACACGAGTAAGCAAACACTTGACAACGCAGAGCAATCAGTCCTTTGACACATGAGAGCAGAGAGGGAGGAAAGTAGGCTAGGAGTAAGGTTGTTGGCAAGAGTGCAGAACCATGAACATCATGGCATGTCCAAGGAATGGAAGGGGAGTTCAGTTGGGCTGGGGTTGGGGCAGGGGTCAGATCACAGTGGCCTTCCAGGCTAAGGAGCTTGCTGGGTAAAGGGGAGATGTGAACTTTTTGGAGGGAAGTTTCATGATTGCATTTTTTGTTTTGTTACTAATGACATACCCAAATCTAAACACTTCCTGGTTTTAGTCCCACCCTTCCCACTACCAGCTTCCTGGGTCTCCTGTTCCATCAGTACTCAGAAAGCACCTGTTTCCCATGTCAGGGTGCCTGGGGCGGCAACTGAGCTGAACCTGGGGTCCCCTTGCTGGGGGGAGGGGAGTTTTGTTTGGGACCTCCAGCCCTAGGATGGTGCCTCCATCAGAAAATGCATTTCTGGTCCCCAGGAGCTTGACCCTCTGTTCATAGCTGTCGCTGTCACCATCTCAGGCTTTGTCTCTTCCTTCACTTTGGGGAAGATGGCAGTGTTCACCTCTGGGGCCTGATCTACCTTTGTCTCAACCTGGAAGGCCCCACATGTGCCCCCCGGCAGATGGCCCAGCCGGCTCCCCATGTGGCCCCCTTCCAACCCCCCCCCCCCCCCCCCCCCCCCCCCCCCCCCCCCGATCCTGTCCCAATTGCCCATAGAAATGCTAACATCCTTGCCCAGTAGCCAGAGTAGCCTACTAAAGTTCCTTAGTAGATGGGGGCTCCAGTGGCTCTGCTGCAGAAACTAATAAAGATGTGGTTGGCTCTAGCCCTGGCTTTGGCTTTGTTTGTTCCTCCAGGGGACCCTGTCTCCCTGGACATCTCTGTGACTCAACACCTACTAGTGCCTTGTCTGGTATAGTGAGAAGAGTGTGGATTCTGAGGTCAGGTAGAACTGTTGACAGTATGTTAGCTGAACAATTTGGGGCAAGTCATGTAACCTTTCTGGGTCTTGTTTTCCCCACCCATAGGTGGCAGGTTGAAGCCGGCCATCCCCAAGGGGAGAGGCTGCATCTGTCATCTGAGCTCATGGGTGATCCAGGCCATGCCCTCTCTGATTTCTGAGAGTCCTGTGGTGTTGGGGTCTTTTCTAGTAGGTTCCCATCCTTCTAGAGTTGAATCAATGAGTTGGTCTCATGGAGACCAGGTGGCCAGGGAAGGAAACACAGCCATTTTGCATCAGGCCTTTTGAGGCTGCAAGTGACAGAAACCCCCCTGCTCAAACTGATTCAAGCCAAAGAAGGGAAAACATTGGGCCAGATCACTGAGAATCTAGAAACTGCTTGGTCCAGGGACTCAAACACTGTCACCTAGACTGTGCTTTGTTTCCGTCTTTACAGCCACTGGGCTGGTTCATTTAGAGGCTGCAGTGATATTCAGCAGCTCCAGACTAATGCCCTCTTGCATTCAAGTCTAGACAAGAAAGCTTCTCAGGGCTGGCCCCATGCCCGAGTGGTTAAGTTCACACGCGCCACTTTGGTGGCTCAGGGTTTCACTTGTTTGGATGCATGGCACTGCTCATTAGGCTATGCTGAGGCAGCATCCCACATAGCACAACCAGAAGGACCTCCAACCAGAATATACAACTATGTACTGGGGGACTTTGGTGGGGAGGCGGAGGAAGAAGAGGAGGGAGGAGGGAGGAAGAAGAAGGAAGAAGAAGGGGGGGGGGGGGGAGAAAGATTGGCACCAGATGAGCACAGGTGCCAATCTTTAAAAAAAATTTTTTTTTCTTTAAAAAAGCAAGCTTCTCTTCCTCCAACAGTGTGAATAAAAGTCCTGGGACTGGGCTGGCCTGGTGGCGCAGCGGTTAAGTGCGCACGTTCCGCTTCTCGGCGGCCCGAGGTTCGCTGGTTCAGATCCCGGGTGTGGACATGGCACTGCTTGGCACACCATGCTGTGGTAGGCATCGCACGTATAAAGTAGAGGAAGATGGGCACGGATGTTAGCTCAGGGCTAATCTTCCTTTAAAAAGAAAAAGCCCTGGGACTGATGGACATTAGCCCAAATTGGGTCCTGTGGCCATCCCTGAATCTACAGTGATGTGGAAAAGATGGTCTAAAACAACAGGGCTTAGAGCAGGGGTGGGTGGTGTCCCAAAGGAAATTTAGGGCACCATTCCCAGAAGTCGGATGAATAGATGAGGGCTGGGTAGCGAAAACATCGGGTGTCCACCTCAGCCATATTCCCAGAGACACCAACTTAAAGCGAGACATAAACAAACAGGAATGATTCAATGAGGTAAGCGAGGAACGTGGTGCAGTGGGAGCTTTGAGGAGGAGGTAACCAACTCTGCCAAGGGAACTGGGAAAAGCTTTGGGACAGGAAATTTAGGGTGAGCCTTGAAGGATGAGTAGGAGTTTGCCAAGCACAGAAGGGAGGGAGAGCTTTCCACACACAAAGAACAGATGAAAGAAATGGCACGAGCAAAGGCCTTAGAATACTTGGGCCTTGAGAGCACTGTGAAGTTCAGGAAACAGTCTGATGTCACAGCAGACTGCATGGTGAGGAGGGGTGGTGGGTGGAGCCAGGTTATAGAAAACCTCCCACAGCTGGGTTAAGGGTTCTTTTCTCTGTGCCCCTATAGCCTTAGAGCTACCATTTGTCATGGTCCCAATGACACCATGGTTCTTTCCACTCACCTCACTGAACAGAACAAGAGGGATGCAAATGGATGCTCCAGATGCAGTTTGCTTCAAAATCTCTCCACTAATATGATTGCAGCATGAATTTTTTATCTTCCAGCTGTTCAGCAGACAATTATTAAATTATTCACATACACATTAAGACAATAATTCTCACAGACAACACAGTCTAATCTGGAGGTGACCTACTGATCACATCTGGCCCACACATTGTTTTGTTTGGTCAGCAGAGTGTTTTAAAAAATGTTTTGAATTAAAATGTGATACCACTACACAACCACCTAAATAGCCAAAGGTGAAAAAGACAGATAACATTAAGTACTGATGTGGAGCAACTGGAAGTCTCATGAGTGTAAACTTGTACAACTGCTTTGGAAACTGATCAATAAAACCAAACATGCATACCTCATAAACTGTCAATTCTACTCCTAGGGTATACCCAACAGAAATGTGTACATGTGTTCACCAAAAAATAATACGTACAAAAGTGTCATAGAAGCATTGGAAAAAACTTAAATGCCAGAATAGGTGGATCCACTGGTAGATCCCATTGACAAAATGGAATACTATTCAATGAGAACTATCCATAAGTATATGCAAAATTATGGGTGAATCAAAAAAAAAAAAAAAAAAAAAAACCAGCAGAGAGGACAAGGGAGTGAAGAGGAGGTGGGAAAATAGAGTTATACAATTGCTAAGTTTCCCGTACCTATGTAAAGGAGTACAATATTAACTTAAGTATATACTGATTAGTCAAAGATGCACATTGGAATCCTTAGAGCAACCACTGAAAATACAATGCAAAGCAGTTAAGCTAAAAAAGCAATAGAAGAATTTAAAAACAGATGTGGCAAATAGAAAACAAGTACCAAAATGGCAGGCCTAAATCCAAACATTAATAATTACATTAAATGTAAGTGAACAAAAAGCACAAATTAAGAGATAGAGATTGTTGGAATGAATACGCAAGCAAGACCCAACTATACGCTGTGTACAAAAGACACACTTTAAAATATACAAATAGGTTGAAAATAGAAGGACAGAAAAAGATATACAATGTAAAGAGTAAGCACCAGAAAGCTGGAATGGCTATTTTAATATCAGACAAAACAGACTTCCAGACAAAAATTATCAGAAATAAAGAGGGGAATGTCATAAAGATAAAGGGTTGATACATCAGGAAGATGACAGCAGTGCTATGAGAGAGATTGATAGCTGTAAATGCATACATTAAAAAAGAAGAAAGATCTCAAGTCAGTAAGCTAACTGTACACCTTAAGGAATTAGATAAAGAGCAAAGTAAACCCAAAGCTGGTAGAAGGAAGGAAATCAGAAAGATTAGAGTAGAGATAAATGGAATAGAGAACAGACAACAAAGTAGAGAAATTCAATGAAACCAAAAGTTGGTTCTTTGAAAAGATCAACAAAATTGACAAACCTTTAGCAAAACAAACAAACAAACAAAAAACAACTAAGAAAAAAAGAGAAGACTCAAATTACTAAAATCAGAAAGGAAAGTGGGGACATTACTACTGATTATACAGAAATGAAAAGGATTATAAGAGAATACTATGAACAATTGTATGCCAACATATAGGATGACCAAGAGGAAATGGACAGATTCCACATGACCTACCAAAATTGATTCATAAAGAAATAGAAAATCTGAATACAGTCATGCAATGCATAATGACATCTTGGTCGATGATGGATCACATATATAACAGTGGTCCTATAAGATTAATGCCATATAGCCTAGGTGTGTAGTAGGCTATAATCTAGGTTTGTGTGAGTATACTCTATGATGTTTGCAAGATGAAATCACCTAATGATGCATTTCCAGACATATCCCCATTGTTAAGTGACACATGACTGTAGATCTATGAATAGTAAGGAGATTGAATCAGTAATCAAAAACCTCCCAATAAAGAAAAGCTCAGGACTAGATGGTTCAGTGGTGAATTCTACCAAACAGATAAAGAAGAATTAACACCAATCCTTCTCCAACTCTTCCCAATAAAATGAAGAGGGAACATTTCCTAACTCATTCCATGAGAGTAGGGTTGCACTGATATCAAAGTCAGACAAAGACAATACAACAAAACTACAGACCCATATTCCTTATGAATATTGATGTAAAAATCCTCAAAAAATTACTAGCAAACCGAATTCAGCAGCATATTAAAAGGAATATACACAATGACCAAGTGGGATTTATTCCTGGAATGCAAAGATGGTTGAACATATGAAAATTGATCAATGTAATACACTACATTAACAGAATAAAGGGAAAAAACTACATGATTATTTTCATTGATGCACAAAGAGCATCTGACAAAATTCAACACCCTTTCATGATAAAAACACTCAATAAACTAGGAATAGAACTTCTTCAACATGATAAATACTATATATAAAAACTCACAGCAAATATCGTACTCAATGGTAAAAGACTGAAAGGCTTTCCCCTAAGATCAGAAACAAGACAGGATGCTCACTTTTATCACTTCTATTCAACATAATACTGGAAGTTGTAGCCAGAGCAATTAGGCAAGAAAAGGCATCCAAATTGGAAAGGAAGAAGTAAAATTATCTCTGTTCACAGACGACATGATCTTATATGTAGAAAACCCTAAATATTCCACAAAAAATTGTTAGAGCTAATAAACGAATGTAGCAAAGCTGCAGGATACAAAATCAACACAAAAGTCTATTGCATTTTATATGCTAGCACTGAATAACCTGAAAAGGAAGGTAAGAAAAAAATTCCATTTACAATAGCCTCAAAAAGAATAAAATACTTAGGAACAAACCTAACCAAGGAGGTGAAAGACTTGCAAGCTGAAAACTAAAATACTGCTGAAAGAAATTAAAGAAATAAATACAAAG